TATGTATATATATGTATGTATATATATATGTGTGTGTGTATATATATATATATAAGACAAGCATTCAAGTCAAATTAAAATAATACTATTCACAATGGAACCAAACGTCACCATTGGTCTGACCCAGTGATGGCTGATGCAGCCTATTCAACAACAACTAACCGCTGCTGCTGCTGCTGGTTGTACCTGGTATTGTACCATCTGACCAGAATGCACCTTGATATCAGGACCTCTGGAAATAAGACTTTAGAGGTTTCTAATATCAGTTTCCGTATAACAGCTGGTTTTAGACCCTGGATGTGGTGTATCATATCACAACGTGTATCTGATATCCCACCTAGTGTTTGGTTTCATGTCTGGTAGATTTCTTCCTCATTTGGTACCTGGTGTCACTTCTGTTGCTCAGAATGTGACCCGCAATCTGGGGCAACTGAAGAGTTGACCGTTCGAGGTTATGGTATACATGTAGCATTTTTTTGGGGGGGGGGTTGATTTAGGCAGAGAGTTGGCCCGCAGTCTGAATACAGACACGGTAGCTACCGCGAGCGTATTGTTCATTGCTAGGTACGATCACAAAATTCTAGCGTTCCAGGCCGGGACTGGTTAAACGGTGGCAAATGTTGTTAGAGCGCTTGTCGTCAATGCAAGACGAACACTGGATCTTTATGTTTTGGAGTGTCAAACTCAAGGCCCGGGGGCCAAATGTGGCCCGCCGGGCTGTGTTGTGTGGCCCCGCGGGAGCTTAGAAAGCATTTAGTAAAGTCCATGCAGCAGAGTTTTTTGCTGCGAGATAACATCATTCACAGTGGACTCGATAGGGGCTATATAATACTTGACATACACGGTGTGTGTGTGTGTGTGTGTAATCTGATAGAAGCCTATTTTATTCTGCTGACGTTTCACCTTGGACTATAATCATCATATACAATTTTTACAGGGATTCAGAGGGTTTGATTTACACACTGACAGAAGTATTTTTAAATTGTGCGTAAAACGGAGCGGATACTCTACTTGTGATTTAAAATCTTTCATCGTAGCCGATTGGTCTTGGCTAGTGAACGGTGGTGGTAAAAGAAGGTCCAACACCGAGGACGCCGTGGACATTAGCGATGACTCACCAGCCGCCGATGCGCTGATTGTCACATGCTCATTTTTAAAAAAAAAAGAGCTACAATGCTGCCATCTAGTGGCTTTCACTTTCACATACAGCCGTTTTTCCCCTAAATAATTTTTAGGTCACACATAATTTGGCGAAATCCAGCCATCGATTCTTAGTTATTACATACTCATGCTAATATCTGTAAGAATATTACTATACTATATTAGATATTGGTGTCAGACCTCCGACGCTCAAGACTTGAACGACTCAAATCGAATCAAAACAGCACTTTATGGCAACGCCTGTGATTCGTTTACGTTTTGATTCTCAGTTGAAGATAATGCATAATGTCCGCATTATAGAAAAGTTCATGATGAATCTGCCTTTAAAACGCGTAGAATCACAAACCATCGTGGCGTTGTGAAAATGTGTGGTTTGGGCTCACACAGTAATTGATCCACTGCTGCTTCCATTAAGATATTTTAATGTTCACTTTGAGACGTCACTGTCTGAAGTCTGTTGTTCACATTTCAGTGACAATAACGGGGAAAAAGGGCGAGTCTTTGACAAGTGTTTTCTAGGAATTGTTGGTCAGGAATATCCTGTATGTCAACAATATACCTCCTTGACGTTTTTCATGTTATCCTCGTACTCATTGTTTGAAGTTTTTAGGACTGTTTTTATTGTAAATTTCACATTTGTAAAAAAAAAAAAAGCCATAATTTCTTGTTTTTTTTTTTCTGCTCTCACAGGCTCTTTTAAGAGAAGGAAGAGGAAATCAATCATTGTGACGGCGATGCTTCTCATCGTCTCTGTGCTCATCCTAATCTTTGGCCTGGCTGCGACCACCAGGACGCAGAACATCACCGTGGGTGGTTACTACCCCGGAGTCATTGTGAGTTCGCACCTTCACGCCTTTAGAGCTCGCGCAGAATCGAAAAAAGATTGTTTCCTCCGTCAGTGTTCCCAGCTCTCACCTCCTGCTCCTACATTTCGATTGCTCATTAGGCTCGTTAGCGAAGCTCTCTGAGGAGCACGATCTCACCCACCATTCATTATTCAACATCGCCGTCGAAGGCTGAGGGGGGAACTGAGAGACTCTCATTTCGTTTTTTTTCTTCGCCTTGCCAAACCCCTGGGTTGTAGCCATTCTGAAAACGTCGACCTCTTCGACAACAACGTTTTCGACGAATAATAAAAAAAAATAAAACCTCAAATCCAGACATTGTTATTTTCCTCTGTCGGTTATTTAACGGACAAAATAGAGAAAAAAGAGGTGAAGTTTGCAACAACATCATAAAATATGTATTGAATTGGACAAAGCTTGCTGAACGTGCTCAAAGCAGTCAAAGCAATATCTAAAAGGCTCAAAGTAGCAAAACTGCAGCTTAAACGGAAATCTCTAACTTTTTCGCTGACTGTCGGTTTCTTCAATATTTCATTGTTTTGCGTTGCATTATGCTGCACGTTCTTATCATTCTGGTTCTGGTGGTTGAGGAAATACTAAGGTGATGGGTTAAATGCAGAGGTCCTCATTCCGTTGTGTGCAGTGGTGTGGCTGTGACACAATGACAGTAAATCACTTTCACTTCTGTTATGTTTTGGTCCTACTGTACCTTCCCTGTGCTTTGTCTCTGTGCGATTCCTTTTTTTAAGAGAGAGACAAATCAGGGATTCTGTTGATGGAAAATACTTTACATTGCTTATTTCTGAAATCCATATAGTACAGCGGAACCTCGAGATACGAGTATTTCGAGATACGAGCAAATTTCTTGCTTTGATATACGAGTAAAAACTCGAGATACGAGCACGCTTACAGGAGCCGACGCTAGGTGCCATAAGCATCGCTTCCATGCGTAGCGTTATCTACGTGATTTTTCTCTCTCTGTCTTGTGCATTATTCTTCATAATAGTGACGAGTCCTAAGAGAGTGAGCGGTAAGGATGGTAGAGAGTCGATAAATGTGAGTGATGTGGCGGTGCGCGCGTGTATGATCGCACTCCTCCTCCGCACATGCCGCCATTAGCCGCTACGGTATCGTTTGTTTCGAAGGTAAGAACTCATAATTAAAACCATATTTTATTTTATATCACAGGAATCCTTATATACTATAATTTTTTTTTTGCGTGAATGTCTCTATAGCAGTTAAGGGCCGAAACGGATTCAATTTTTTTCTGTTATTTCTTATCGTGAATGTCTCAATAGCAGTTAAAAGCCAAAATGGATAAAATTTTTTTCTGTTATTTCTTATGGGAAAAAATGATTCAGGATATGAGCACCTCGTGTTACGAGCTCGGTCCTGGAACGGATTATGTTCGTATCTCGAGGTTTCACTGTAAAACCCAAAACTTCAACTCTTTTTTTTTTCCATAAACACCTTTTCGTCTCTCACTATTTCCCCTCAGCTCGGCTTCGGTTCTTTCCTGGGAATCATCGGAGCTCATTTAATCGAGAACAAGCGGCAGATGGTGAGATGTTTTGATCTTCCTTTGTAAATTCAGGTCGCCTTCCACTCTTATTGTCTCCTTTGTCCCTTCAGTCACGACACTCATGGCGTTGGACTCGCTACACGAGTCTCACTTTTAAACATGAATCGCTGAGTCTCCCTGGCCAGGTTTCTGCTGCGTCTCCTGGTCTTCAGGGGCGACATTGACAGAAATAGACCTGGGGTGTAAGTGGAGGAGGAGCAGTGATATCCACGGTGGAATGTGGAGCAGAAAAAGTGCAGACGAACGGAGTCGGGCCAGAGTCAAAGTGAAGAATGAGTTGGTATCATGACACCTGGTCCCGGGGACCAGCAGAATCTTAGGAATGTCACGTACGAAAGAGAGGAACGGAGCTGAGAAACGTCACGCTGCTCCCCTCCTCTGGCACACTGCTCCAAAAAACACGTCGTTAGTATTTACGGTCAGGGTTAAGGAGACACACACACACTTAGATCTTTTAAAAAGATTTTTGGCCATTGTTCTGGTTATTGATTTTTGGCTTAGATTTCACCGTGGTATCTAATCTTCGAGACTCCAAAATCCAAAGAGGACAAAAGCATCTGCACTCTTCCAAATAACATTTCAGAGTTTTCCGTTCTTGCTGTACGTGCACATTTTATTATGGACACTAAAATGTCAAGTTACTATAAATTAACTTCAGATTAGTAAGAGGTCGTCCGGCCAATCACCGGGGCCAGATCCTCTTTTACATTGACGAGAGTAAAAAATCTTGTTGATTTCAAGTTCTGTTTTCCCTCCTCCAGTTGGTGGCGTCCATTGTCTTCATCAGTTTCGGAGCGGTGGCTGCCTTCTGCTGTGCAATCGTGGATGGGGTTTTCGCCGCGAGACACATCGTGAGTTCATCGTCGAATGTTCGACCCGGGCTTAATATATTGTGGACATAAACAACGCCTTCCCTTAACCTTATGGCAGGGCTTATTAATCAATCCCTATTGAATCTTAATCCCCCCCCCCCTTTTCTGCCCCCCCCCGCTGAATCGGAACCAACCAGCAGAAACGGGCCCGGGCCACGTCTTGTTGATTTCAAGTTCTGTTTTCCTTCCTCCAGTTGGTGGCGTCCATTGTCTTCATCAGTTTCGGAGCGGTGGCTGCCTTCTGCTGTGCAATCGTGGATGGGGTTTTCGCCGCGAGACACATCGTGAGTTCATCGTCGAATGTTCGACCCGGGCTTAATATATTGTGGACATAAACAACGCCTTCCCTTAACCTTATGGCAGGGCTTATTAATCAATCCCTATTGAATCTTAATCCCCCCCCTTTGTCTGCCCCTCCACGTGGATCGGAACCGAACCAGCAGAAGCTGGCCGTGTCACAGTCAGACTGCAGCGGCCACCACGCCCTTCCCAGAAAGCACACATTTATTTTGTGGTGCACAGAGCTGTTTCTTCGCTCTTCCTCTATGACCTAAAGTAGATCAAATACCTAATAACCACTAATGCACTCGTAAAACAATTAGAGCTAAATGAATTAGACCTACGTAGGGAAAACATCAGAGCGGAACCATTAGCAGGTTTTTATTTGAAGCCGAAGTGGAAAATGGAAGAAGAAGAAAAAAAAAAAATTCTCCATTTCAACAAACCGCAAAAAGAGAAAAAAATACTGTAAACTCCTTTGGGCTCCTAGAAAATGTGAAACAAAAGTTTCTGTTTTTTTTTTTATGATTAATCCAGAGCAAATGTGAAAAATTGAGAGAGCCTTTTATTGGTATAAAAGTATTTGGTGAGTCAGTGTGTGTGAACATCAATTTAAAAAAAAAAAAAAAAAAAAAAAAGCAGTGTGTGTTTGCAAAGAGACAAACTGATCAGAGATCATGATTTACGAAAAAGAAAAAAAAATTCTCAATGTACATATTGATAGACACCAGGATTTTTTTTTTCTTCTCTGCATTGAAATCATGTAAATCAAATCATCATCGTGTAAATGTGACACTAACTGTTCTGCAGGACCTCAGGCCTCTGTACGCCGGTCGATGTGAATATCACTCCAGTGACACGGCGTCTGAACGGGATGTAAGAAACCATCTCATTCCCTTGTTGAAAAGTTGATATGTTCTGAGTAATCGGGTCTGTGTGTGTGTTGTCCCAAGAGATACTTCAGTGTTCAATCATTTTTGTTTAAAAAAAAAAAAATGTGGCAGAAAAGCTTAGTGATTAAAATGACATCATTGTTAAAAAAAAAAAAAGGATAAAAGTTTGAACTATCCCTTTAACGACATTGAACCTGAAGTCAACTACTGTTCGGCCCGCAGGTCCCCTGCCAGACGTCCTCTCGTACGTACTGTAACCTGCGAGTGAAGAGCAACACCTGTTACTGCTGTGACCTGTACCACTGTGGCAAGTGAGTCCCAGAGGACTCGAACCTCTGACCCCGCACCGCATGGTCTGTCTGTCTGTGACTCTGTGACTGTGCCTGTGTACTGCTCTGCTCTGTTTGTGTGTGTGTGTGTGGGAGATTTCTTTCTGCACTGCAGCATTCCAGAATGTTTCTGTTCTTCTTTTGACCTTTGTTTCAGAGAACAGCCTCTTATGGGACTTCAGAATAAAGATGTTTTGAAAAAGTTTAGGAAATCATCCATGGTTTGGAAGTAGGTCCTTTTTCTCTAGACCAATTCTTGATCCACTCTGACCTCTAATTATTTCCTATGTCACCCATCACACAAGTGTGCTCCTGAACTCATTAATAATGTTTTTTTTTGTTTTTTTTTAATCTCCAAAAGTGTGGTTGTATGAGGTGTGACCCATGGGATGTGTCCTAATAGGGGTATAGCCTATATGGGCAGCAGTCAGTCGTCATGCTGCTTGAGGGAAAGGACCATGTGTTGAAGTAAAAGATATATTATCTACGACCGTGTTTCCCAAAAAAAAAAATTTTTTCGGGGACTCATATTTTAAAAGTCGCGACCCAAGTCAACCCAAGACATTATTCGTAAACTCCTGGAAAACATGATGCGAGACGACCCAAAAAAAAAAAATTTGTGACCCACATCAGGGTTGCGACCCAGTCTTTGGGAAACAACGATCTATGACGTTCCTTTTTTTTGGTCATTTTCTCACTGTCACACAGACATTTTCAATGGGAAGTGTGTGTTGATAAATCAGCAATTGTTGACCCACTACTGCCTTTGTTCAGAAATTGAAATATATATATATATTTTATTGTGACTGTATTGTTTAAGATCACAGGTAAGATTGAATTCTGCGACACAAACTGACCACAAGAGGCAGCAGTAGACCTGCACTAAATCGGTGTTTTCCTCTATAGTATATATATATATATATATATGTATATATATGTGTATATATATGTGTATATATATGTATATATATGTATAAACATATATATGTATATACATATATATGGTGTATGCGAGTGAGAATTTAAGAAATGTAAAAAATATATATATAATGAATTGATTTGGTCAGTATCCTGGTTCCTAGAGTGAAATGTGTCACAGTGGGGTCAGCGAAGTGTCGCATGATCAATCTTCATTTGAGTCGCAAGGCATTGACTTAGAAGTAACAACATAAGAGACAGTTCTCTATGGTTGAATAACTCTGTCTGACAGTGAGATTTAGCTGCGAATACAGACAGATCTTGGCTGAATCCTATTTCTCTACATACCCTGATTTTTTAAAAAAAAATTTTTTTTTTTTTGTTGAATTTGTTTCTCATACAACCAGCACTTTAGGTGCCATTTCTCTCTACTGTATAATCTGCTTATCCTCTGAGATTTAAACTCAACTCATCCCAAGCTTTTTTGACACCTTGATTCCCAAACCTGTGTGTCACCTTCACTGTGTTTTATGCATATACGTAGAAGCTCCTAGTCTGTAGCAAGGCTCAATGCTTGTCAGGAACAATGCTGTGGTGAGTTTTTTTTTTGTTTTTGTTTGTTTGCTTTACTGTCTTCTGTGCTCTCTTTGTCCACCCAACTGGTCCAGCCGCGTAGAGGTGCTCGGGGGTTATCACGAGTACACCGACGTAAACAGCTGCCAGGACGTGGTCCATCTCTACCACCTGCTGTGGTCGGCCACCATTCTCAACATCGTGGCCCTCTTCCTGGGCATCATCACTGCTGCAGTGCTTGGAGGCTTCAAGGATATGGTACGATTTTACATTTATATGTATATATATGTGTATATATGTATATATGTGTGTTTATATATGTATATACCGTATGTGTATATTTGTGTTTATATATGTGTATATATGTATGTGTGTATGTATATATGTATATACGTATACTGTATATACATATACTATGTATGTATATACATATATACTATGTATATATATATATATATATATACATAGTATATATGTATATACATACATAGTATATGTATATACAGTATACGTATATACATATATACATACACACATACATATATACACATATATAAACACAAATATACACATACGGTATATACATATATAAACACACATATATACATATATACACATATATATACATATAAATGTAAAATCGTACCATATCCTTGAAGCCTCCAAGCACTGCAGCAGTGATGATGCCCAGGAAGAGGGCCACGATGTTGAGAATGGTGGCCGACCACAGCAGGTGGTAGAGATGGACCACGTCCTGGCAGCTGTTTACGTCGGTGTACTCGTGATAACCCCCGAGCACCTCTACGCGGCTGGACCAGTTGGGTGGACAAAGAGAGCACAGAAGACAGTAAAGCAAACAAACAAAAACAAAAAAAAAACTCACCACAGCATTGTTCCTGACAAGCTAATAGTTGATGTATGATGAAGGAAAACATATTTGAATTATGCCCAGTGTTTCGCACTGGCCGACAGGATGTGTGATTTTGATAACTGCTGGGTTTCAGACGCCGTCGGCAGTGTCGGAGAGCTCATCTGAACCCGAGGCCATCACAGCTGCTCCTCCAGAACCTGCTCCACCTACCACTTCTGTTCACTCATTTTACAACAGCGCCCCCTGCCTGCCACCATACACTGCCTACGACCTGCAGGTTTCAATCACACAAACTAGTTCTTTCACATGTGGAAAAAAACGGATTTGAAAATAACATGGTGTTCTGGGGAAAAAAAAAGAACGGATTTGAAAATAACATGGTGTTCTTTTTTTTTTAATTTCATTCCTGCAGGGTACCTACATATTCCCGGACTCATCTGGTCTCTCGGATGATTCCCAGTCTGGAGCGAGTCACCTGTGGCCTACGTTGGTCCCTCCACGTTACTCCCCTCCTCACAAACATCCCGATGAGAAACCACCGCCGTACAGTCCATAAGGAAACTTCCTGAGGTTCTCCGAGTAGTTGTCACATGTCAAGTGTGTGCGGAACCTTTAAGTTTGTTTCCTCCGAGTGGAGCTGACTTTGAAACGATCGCAAGATTTTAGAAACAGGGAGGAAAAAAAAAAAAAAGATCCGTGTTCTAGAGCATGGTTCGCAATCTGGACGCAGTCGTCAACCACACGAAGGCGATGGGATAACCAGTTCAAATGAGAATTTTTTTTCACAATTCTGTATTTGCTTTAATGCTATTGGACTTCCTATTCTGCAGAACTTGGACCTGCTCCTCCAGATTCCACTTGAAGAACACGTCCTCCCTCAGCTGGTACTGACGACACATCCCTGTTTTTTTCAGGACCTGAACCAGACTTTCTCATACACCATAGGTGAGAAATGTATTTGTGTATGTCCTGAATCTCGATCACAGTTCAATCCTAGAGTTGAATTTTTATTTTATGGTTTTGTGAATACTGACACGAAACATTGTTTCCACAGTTATGTACCGTGGATTTTTTATAATTCTCCCAGGAACTAAAAAAAACAAACAAACAAAACAGTTCGCCCTAAATGCGGCAAAATTAAGTTTTGGCTTTGGAATCAAGCCGTTTAGCAAAAAAAGATAAATAAATGGCTAACGCTAACGCGTTACTTGCTAACTACCGTAGTGAAAGCAAGAGCCGATATTTAGCTGAAGTAAGAGGAACGGTAATTGAGAGTCAGCTTGGTAGGACGCATGCTTACATGGAAGATAAATAAGAGATAGACACTTAGCAGAATTAGCTCGTCGTCGTTAATGAACACAAAGACTGAGGAAATACCTTAGCCAAAGACAGACAAAAAAATTTGAGCTAATCCCAGAGAAAAGCTAAATTAGCCAAAGACAGAAAAATTTGAGCTAATCCCAGAGAAAAGCAAGCATGTAAATATTTATAACATTATCACTTCCAACTACGCCATCCTCTCATCGGTGTGTGAAGAACTTTTATTCCCGATATGAAGCCGTTCGACCGTAGACGTTAAGGAAATGCTCTGTGTACGTGCTGTAGTGGAGGAACTTTTGTGTCTTTGTGTGGATCTCTGCTGTTAAACAGAATGGTTTTTTTCTTTACTCAGTCACAGAAATGATACTAAAGACTTAATAATGGAGCGTTATATGCGTCAGTGCTGGATTCACTGACAGTGTGAACCCTATTAAAATTCCTCTGTCAGCTTCAGTCACTGCTCTCATGTCTCTTCTTGTCTCTCCTCTCATTATTCAAATCCTTCGCTCAAAGCCTGCCGTCACTTCGGTGTTTGCTGAAGACTGAAATATCTGGGGGGGGGAAAAAAATCATTAAGTCGTCAGAAGCAAGATGGGAAGTGAGGTCAGATAAGTCAGAACGTTAAACCTTTAAAAGCACTCTGGCTGTTAATGTTTCAGCATAAACTACCAAACAGTACAAGGAACTGTTTTCCTACAAAGAGTCCAAGTTGTAGTCCAAGAAACCATAGACAACCCAAGTAAGTGTGCTATCACTACAGGGACTTGGGACGGTTCAGGCGATCGGGGACAAATTCCCGGGACGGAACCATTTCCGGAACTGAAGGAACACATCAGAAACTGGGTAAGCACTACGTAAACCAAAATCCGTTCCGAAGACTAAGGGAACGTTTCAGGGACTATGGATCATTTTAGGGAGGAGATACAGGACCTTTGCGGACAGAGTTTGAGTTTTGTTCTCTAGTGTCGTGTTTCCCCAAAAAAAAAAAAAAAATTCTGGGTACCCCTATTTTAAAAGTCACAAACCTTTGTGAGCAAAGTCAATAGACCTTATTCGTAAAATCCTGGGAAACATCACGCAAGACGACCCCAAAAAACAAAATCTTTTTTTCGACCCACCTGAGGGTCGCGACCCAGTCTTTGGGAAACAATGCTCTAGAGGAATAAAAACGGACAATCAGAATCAGTCTCATTAGGACAAGGACAAGTTGGTTTACAAAACGAGATAAGTTGTTGATTAAATACGCACTTAGTCTACGTTTTACAGTAAAAAAAAAAAAACTTTTGTAAAGCAGTTCATTTTCTACCACGGGCCGAGGAAGAAAGAAAAGAAAACACAGCTGTTTATACAGAGGCTGTAGAAAATCAATTTATTTACAACTGGGGTGACGTTTGAATGAACAGAAAATAAAGGATATTTTATTTGATTAACTGAGAAAACACTCAGTTAGATTTTTTTTTTTTTTTTCATACCTAATAAGTACTCTGAAACTGAAGTTAAGTTATCAATAACTGTACAATAAAAACACCTAGCCTTAAAAGACAGAGCATCTGAGCATGTTTAGTGAAGGTATCCCAGAATCCTATGGTAGTCTCAGCTACTTCTTCTAACTAGATTAAAAAAAAAAAAAAAAAAAAAACATAAAAATTTCAAAAACCATAACCATTCCGGTCACATTACTCCTGCGTATGTGGAAGTTGATAAGATATACAACCCGGAAAAAATGAAACATTTCAGCTCAGAATGTGGAGTTCTGTTTGGGAACTGAAATAATCAGTCCGATTCTAAAAAAAAAAAAAACTAAATCCTTTGGATTTACTCAGAGGATACATGGACTTTGCAACTTCTCTTCAGGGATTTTAAATAGACGCTGAAAAAATACTGTATTCCTTTCAGTTTGAACTTACATTCTATGTAAGATCTAACAACTCCTGTTCCCAAATGATAATAATATAAATAAAGTGAAAGTTTCAGGTCATACCGACCAAAGTATAAAGCGAAAGTTTCAGGTCATACCGACCAAAGTGAAAGAGTGATGAGGAAACAGCATTGTACCTCATCAAATAATTTAATTCTTGCCTCGTCCGTCGTTAGATTACTATTAAATATGATTCATTCAACAGCTGAAGGAATTCTACTCTTTTAGTATTTTTAGCACAGCGCATTAATAAGTTAACTCCATATATGTAGGACAATAATTTAAACATAATTGTAATTTGAACAGCATCCATTAATAGATGCCTCACTTGGACCTCACGTTGGTATGCAAAATGTATAACCTGTAGTAAATGAACAAACAAACTGGAAAAATTGGAAAGCTGTTGCTCTTGAAATTTTTTTCCTATTCTCCCTAAAAAGTAACGCTACTTTGAAGAGAGAAGTCAAACGTTAAACAAGCAGTGAATCCAGGCTTCCGCAGAACTCTCTGGCAAACATTCAGTTAGTCTACCAACAAAACCAAAGGCGCCATCAATGTTCTAGTTCCTCGGCCGAGGTGCTTAGTCTTTACGTTATTATTGTCAAGTTGGACCACAAACTTTGAATAAATTATAGTTTTGAAAACGACTGAGCGTACTGAGCACTAAACTGTTAGCAATTCAAAATTATATCTGACTTGATGATGTATTACTTATTAAAAAAAACTTAACTAAAAAGCTTAGGAGAATCCTGCTTTGGAACCGACATGCAAATGGAGATTTGAACATTTCAAATCATTTGAAGAACTCCTGCAGTTCCCCAATCAGAGAAGAAACCTATAATTTAGATCTAGTTCGGAAAATGATTGAAAACATCCCTGAAACTCTTTTGTTAAAAAGTTAATGTTCCACACATTAACTTTTTAACAACATGGTCCATTTCTTTAAATTAAATAACAGCCAACGGAATCTCAACAGCTGTAGCTCAATAGGTGTCTGGAATAACAAAGTCAAACTCATTATTGCCCTCTGGAGGCATGTCCGCAGAGGCACGTCCATCAGACGTGCTCGTCTGAGTGTCGGGCTCAGAAAAGAGTTTGTCCCATTCCACCAGCCCGGGACGGACTGAACAGTCGAAGTCTGCCGTGGTGGTGATGACGTGTTGAACGCTGCCGTCCTCCGAAATCATGGAAACACCATGATTTCTGTTTTCTTCCCAGGAGTACGTCTTCCTGGGCACTGTCTTACAGGGCAGCAGTTGGTACAGGAGGTCTTTGTCATCCTTCTGCTTCCTGCCACTGGGATCCTGGTTGTGAACCGCCTTGCAGTGATTGGACAGCAGCTGGTAGTTGATGAACATCTCATTGCAAAGAAGGCACTGGTAGCGTCTCTCTCCTGTGTGCAGGATTTCATGTTTGGTTCGGTACTCGGCCAGAGCAAACACTTTGTCACAGTGGCGACATGGATACTTGCGTTTCCACGAGTGGATATTGAAGTGGCGCCGCAGACTAGGCAGAGAGACGTAAGGGCGTTGGCAGATGGAGCAGACAAAGAAGGTCTTCCCGTCCATGACCAGCTTGTAGTGATCCTCCGGGTCCGTCTTACTTTTCTTGTTTGGACTCGACAACGGCGACGGAAGCGTTTCGTCTGGGTTTTTCATAAGCTGTGATCTCTTTGCTTTACCAACTTTAGATCCGCCTTCACCTGGATCATCCCTCTCCGAGACAATGTCGTAAGTGTTCTCTCCAATGTTGGCGTAGACCTTACATCCCGAGGAAATCAAATCGATCTCCGTGCCCATGTTCAGGGTCACCGTCTTCTTTGTTGTAACTGCTGAAATCGAGTTCTTTTCAGCATCTGCCGCGTTTTCAGAAACATCTAAAAGTCTTATTTTGACATCTCCTGTCCCGGGTGAAGTAGAGACATGTTTTTGGTGGACTACTGCCATACCATTGTTTTCTGATGACTGAGAGACACTTGGAGATTCCGGTGTGACACTGCTGGACCTGGCTAGTGATGCGGAATGGGTATCTGATAAAACTTTAGTAGAGGGTAACAAGTTACTAGTGTCCACGCTGCTCTCGGGTAAACAGGGTTTAAGATTGTCACATTCAACTGGAACTGTGTCATTTAACTGTACTTTTGGGTCCTGGGAAGCTTTTTCCGCATCTGCCACCTTCGAATTAGTGATGTCCTTGGATTTGGGCTTTTTCCTAACCACCTGAGGACCTGTCTGTGAGACAAACATGACATCATTGTCTGACTCCTCGGTATTTTCTACGGGTCTGCTTGACTGATTAAACTCCTCGGCTGATATGGAGAAGGTATCCGTGATTATTGGCATCACCTCCACTGAGACGTCACTTTTGTTTTCTGTTTCTTCTTTTGACAATCCACCAAGTCCTTTGACTTGTGACAAGGGTGTTGCCAGGTTAGCAATAAACTTGACTCCCAGGATCTGTCCAGCATTAATGAGCTCCTCCATCATGTCAGAGCGCACACGTACAATTTTTGAGCTGTACATGTAGTTGAGAATCTGCTCAAATATTTCTGCTCGGATGAAATTTAACTCGATGACCTGTCCAGCGACACGAAAAAGCTGATGGAAGTAGGAGCTGGAGGCAGACAGGATGGTTTTGTGAGCTCTGAATTTCTTGTCACGGATGATGATGGTGACGTCACAGAATAATCCATTGGTCCTCTGATCGTTCATGGACTTCAGCACAGTAGCTGAGTACTGTGTGTCAGTGGCCGAGATCAGCTTCAGACTCGGCATGTCTGCATAGGTAGACCAAAAAAAGAAAAAAAATGATTAGCTGCTCTAATGTGAAGACTCTTTTATTATAAGACCTACGGTTATTTTTCCCCGAAGCTGCCGTTTTAATGATTATTCCTTGTGTACTTCATGTGCAAAGTGAGCATTTTAACAATATTTGTAGACGAACAACATACTTGATAATGTTAATCCTTCTCTGTAAGTCACTACTGTCAAAGCGTCTGCTAAATGCATAAATGTAAATGTAACTATGGGAAAAGAACAGGATGAACAAAAGCACTAACGTTACGGTTGATTAAACAGTTTTTTTAACCGGAATTGCATTTTAACCAAGACCACATTTTTTAATCATAAATGTTTGTGTATTTTACCGGAATTGCATTTTAACCAAGACTACATTTTTTAATCATAAATGTTTGTGTAGCTTTTGTGGTTTATATACACCGGTCACCGGTCTATATCAGTTGTTAGCACCTAGCAGTCGCTAACGCTAACTTCCTCTTTTATAAAAGAAAGAAACGCGGCCTGTTTTAGATGTTAATAGTAAGACTTAATGTACTACTGTCACGTTATATTATTAGCAAATAATGTAAATGTTACCTGCAACCTTGGTGTGTTCAATAAGGACTGAAAGTCCAGATGCTTTCCGCAGGTGCTGTCTGGGTTCGAGGCTAAAAACAAAGGCTAGCTGTCAGAAAGCGGATAAAAGCTATTACAGTACCTTATGGTGCTGCTCAGAAATTGACCATAGAGGGGCGCTGTAACGTAGCGTTAACAAGTCGTGCAAACGTGCGACAAATGACATTTATACTAGTTGAAAGATAGAACTCTGAGGTGTGGTGGTAGTGGTGAGTTTCAGTACCTAAAGGTTCACCTATGTAGAATAATGGACAGTGCACAAGAACTCGGTGCATGCAGGTTGGAATGGATGGAGGGTGTCACGGGTAACTGTCAATTTGTGAAGTTGAAAAGGACGTTTTTTTAAACACTATTAAACAACAGACTTGCCAGGATGTATGGAATTACACAATTACAAAAATGTGTATTATTTCATTGGATAATCACAAAATGGCTGAATTTTATGTACTATTTGTCTAAAACTAAAAGCTACAGTGACTCAAATAACATGACTATTTGTGATTGAATTTTCATTTTATTTTGTAATATATTATTTTTTAAAAATACCCCAGTGATTTCTCTTTTAGATGAAAAACAATCATACAAATTTTAACAAGAATAAAACCGCTTAACTATTATCTTACAAATTATGTATTACAAAGTGCATAGTCGGGCAGTATTTGGGGACGGACACTTTGCTTCCTGGCTTCCTAGCGGAACTAAGTGTACGAGGTGGTGAAAACCCGGTCGAAATTTGAAGACGGACCCAGCTTTGTTGCGTATGTTGATTAAATAAATATCGTCAGTGCAGTTTGTTGATGCCGTGTGTAAATTGTCTTCACAAAGTTTAAAGGTCGAGATTCTATTCCTGAAGTCGAAGTTAAACGTTCGAATCGGTACTGATGCCTCTGTCGGATAGGTCCAGCTCTGACGGCGGCGGGCGTCAGAGTCCTCGGCACCGTAGACCTCGCACTCGCTCCCGTAGCAGACATCGCAGCGACAGTGGTGACCGAAGTCTTTCCCCTGATAGCTTTGGACCCAAACTCCCGAAACCTCGAAACCGGGAGAAAGAACACGAGGAGCGAGAGCGTCGATTCCGAGAGGCAAAGAACATCCGACGGTTCCGCATCGGAAGCCCTCGACGCAGCAGGTCGCGATCACGGTCTCGATCGCGGGATAGAGATCGTCGAAACTACAGTAACAACACAAACAGCAGCTACAACAATTGGCCCGAACACAGAGAGGGAGCCGGGAAACACGGCTTCAAAGATGATTATTACTATGATCAGCAGCGGGACGACGCTCAGAGGCAGAGACAGGAAGCTTTCATGGCAAGGTAAGACTAAGTTTCCTAATGAAAATATTTTAGTTCAGCAAGTGCCTGTCGACTCGAAACATCTAAAAAGTTTCCTAATGAAAATATTTTAATTCAGCAAGTGCCTGTCGACTCGAAACACATTAGAGAGTTTCCGTGTTTGGAATTGGATTCCCAAATAATTTACCTTGGAGTTTGACTCCACGACTATATACATGAAATGATGAATTAATTGCCATGGTTACCTCATTGGTTATTCTGTGTATCCCATTGTTACCAATATAAATGGTAAAATAAAGCATGTTTTCAAATATTTGAAAGTTGCATCTGTCCATCTGTTTGCCAGGCGTCTCAATGAACGGGAGCGGATTGGTGAGTTGGGTTGTCCTGAAGTTTGGGGATATTCACCGAGAGTAAAAGAACCAGAGTAAGTAGGAAGCTTTGTTATTTTGTGATAAGCCTCGGATGTGGTTTTAAAGCAGGTTTATATGTTATTGAAACTTTTTCAACCAGCTCTGATGAGTTCACTCCAGTTGAAGAGGAGAAAAACAGCAGCTCAGAGTCCAGCTCAGAAGGTTCGACCCACACACAGTTCAGTTTTACCAGAACAGTCTTGGTGATTGTTTGAAATTATAAAGGAATATTTTTCTATTATAGAAGAAAAGAAGAAGAAGAAAAAGAAGAAGAAGAAGAAATCAAAGAAAAAGAAAAACAAGAAGCACTCCGAGGACAGTGATTTGGAATCTGACACGGATGGTATGATTCGTTTATCGTAAAGCCTGTCCCTGTGCTTTTAATGAAATTCATGAACTAATTTGTTATATTTCTAAATTTCAGATGAGGAAATAAAGAAAAAGAAGAAGAAAAGCAAGAGCAAAAAGTTTGTTCAATTTGGTAGTGTTTCCGCCTCAGTGACACAACAAGTTTGAATTGGACCAGTTTGACGTTGTACATTTTTTCCAACAGGTCAAAAAAGTCCAAGAAGAAGAAGGCGAAGAAGAGTCGTAAAGAGTCGAGCGACTTTAGCAGTGAAGAATCTGAGGAAGAGGAAAATGCTGGCGGAGTTACGTGGGTGGAAAAAAATGGTGTGGATGACGACATAGTCGGACCTGAAGCTCCTCTAACCTCCATGTCCCAGGACGACAAGCCTCTGGAGTGAGTTTTGGTCCCTTTAAATTTACATCATGTCACACAACCAGTGTTAACATTGAAAAGTTTCACAAAGATTCACAAAGGTTTCCAGGATCTTACTTAGAGGGGCATGGTGAGGTGCCAGAGGGGACATGAGAGGCTTCCAGTGGAATATGGCATGTAATTGGACATAAGTGGACCACTGCTATAATGCTTGAATGAACACAAGCCTCCAGTCACTAGGTGGCAGCAACTCATACAGTGGTTTGTACAGATAGGACTATACATGTTATCAGGTTCTCAATAGTATTACAATTCGCAGGGGTGTGGGTAGGAGCGGGGAGGAGGGGCGTCAAAACACTTCTGTCCCCAGGGGAAGCACTGAACTATGTCCAGAGACTGAACAGCCACTTCAGTAGTGACAGGGACTCTCATTGCCTATGGCAAGGTTTCTCTTCTATCATTTAGGGTCTGGAGTATAAACACTGTCCGACTTTCTTTTTTTTTTTTTTTTTTTTTTTTAAATGTCTGTTAACTTTTGCCCCCTTTGTCTTCCAGTTTTGGTCACGCTTTGCTGCCAGGTGAAGGTGCTGCCATGGCTGAGTACGTCAAAGCTGGAAAAAGAATTCCGAGAAGAGGAGAGATCGGTCTCACCAGCGATGAGATTGCAAACTTTGAGAAGTCTGGTTACGTAATGAGCGGTAGCAGGTATGAAGCTTTCTTTAACCTCTGTAGAATTAACCTTTTCTCTCCTGTTTATTCAATAAAATTTTACTATTTAAGTCAGGTCAATTCAGTTCAGCTACTGGCTGTAGAGCAGCGTCTACGATTTCATAAATTTAAATCCGACTTTTTCCCTCTTGTGTAGACACCGTCGCATGGAGGCCGTGCGTCTGAGAAAAGAGAACCAGATCTACAGCGCGGACGAAAAGAGAGCGTTGGCCTCCTTCAACCAGGAGGAGAGAAGGAAGAGAGAGAGCAAGATCCTGTCGGGCTTCAGAGACATGGTATACAGGAAAACCAAAGGAAAGGAGGACAAATAAAACTGTGCAAATTGGTTTTTATTTTTTGGTTTTTTTTGGTTTTTTTTATCACATACTTATTGTCTGCAATTCAGATGTTGGTTTGGGGAACGGTCACTATTAGGTTTATAGACAGAGAATATCACCTGAAAGTAGATAAGTTATATCTACTTTCTTAGCGATACAGCCTACTTAATCCCTAATGTACATGTTTTTGAGGAGGAAACTGTAAAACCAAAACGTCCAAAAAAAATAATAAAAATCATCCGGCAGTTCATTTATTGTATTTTTTGTTTATAAATATGAAGTCTCCAAATTAATTCACTGTATAATTTCATCATCTTTCCCCCTAAATTTCGGTCTTTTTTTTTTTTTCCTAATGAACACAAACCACATGCTGTTGTTTTTAATGTTTTACTTTTATTCAGTGGCAACGTCAGGGTCATAACTGTATAATACTATATAATAATGATACTGTATGAAAGAGACTAAAACCCTCAAATATTTGGCATTTAAAATGTGTCCGGTAAGTGAGAGCTCTCTTTAGTGGAAAACAAAGACCTTAAAACCGCTTCAAATGAACCCAGGTCGGCAACAAACTACATTTGATGGGTGTAGTGTGTGTGTATTAGTGGGTTATTTAAAATCTGTGTTGAGTTTGGGGATTTTATGTATTGATTTGTTTTAATTCATGAATTCAGTTTGTGTGACTTACAGAATGTTGCAATTGATTGGTTTTCAATAAAACGCATTGTAAGTTCTGTTTTTGCTGGTTTTGGTTTTTTTTTGTCACAGGAGACAAAGGTTTCTCGACTCGACCATCTCTGATAAAACTGAAGAGTTAGGATTAAAAAAATGTCCAACAGTCTGGTGATCTTTAAAAAGTGGCACTAGTTATCTAGTTTTGTTAACTTTTTGACTTGCCCTCATTTTACTAACTTCTCACTGATTCTTTGTTCCAACCGCTTATGTTATATTTCTATGTTAAAAACCAAACAACAGAACAAAACAAAGAAGTGATTGATAGGTATATTTTTTATTAACATGTCTTTAATTTTGCTTGTCCTCAGTGGATGTTCTCCAGACCCTGTAGAGAAAAAACAAAAACAAATCCAATAACAATGTATTTTAATTCTCTAAAATTGCTTTTTAATCACAAACACATTAACTGTAAGCCTCAAATATTTTTTATTGTGGATTTCACCCCTCACCTTTGCCTCATAATAAATGCCTGTTTTTGACACTCGCGTGTCTCTATCCATCAGGTACCACAGCCACTTCCTCCGAAGGTTTCTTTTTTCCTGCAGGAAACACAAAGCACAGATTTTCTATCTAAGCGATATACTAGTAAAAGCATTAATCTGTTAAAACACTTTGTCATTTTCAAGTTACTCTTCAATTGGCAAAAAAAAAAAAAAAAAAATTACTCTTCAATTGGCAAAAATAAAAAATTAACTAGCTAAAATTTCATGTTGACTGTAAAGTAAAAGATGTAACTAGTAATGATACTTCCTACAACGGTACTGTAGGAAAAAGAAAACTTGCATTTGTTTTGTTGTCTTTATTTAATATATTTATTTTTATTTTTATATTAACATTTGAAAATAATAATCACAGGATTTAAAGGGTGATAAAATAGTTGCATCTGCGTTAGTCTGTTAGCTGGCTAGCTCCTCTCACCTTTCCATCGTAAGTGAACCAATGGATTAGCCTAGTGGCGTGTCCTGGTAACGTAAGACATCCATATACGAGGCCAAGGCAGGGGAGAATCTCATACCACATTGTATACCAGATTTACTGTCAATCGAGCGCGAGCAATTTGGGCAAACGGTTGTATTTATTTAGCTAAGGAGCTAAATAAACGTCGCCTTTCCAGATGACCTTTGATTTTCCCTTCCGCAAATAAAGACAAACACTTCCTGTAAGGGCACTTTCAAAATAAACCGTCAGGTAGCCACAATAATTCAAACGTTGATTTAAAAAACATACCACGCAGCACAAGAACGTATCCCAAAGCTATGTTTACAACTTAAAAAGAACAACCACAATGACCAGAAACAACTTTTATTAGCAATGAAGTATAACGGAAGTGCAGCTCCAGTTTAGACAGGAAGTTGGTGGATATGCTGTATACGCAGCTTTAAAGAAAAACAACTGAACGTGGTGACATTTTTTTTTCTAAAAGTACTTTTGTAGACATGAAAGAAGACAAAGAAAATACTCGACCGAAAGACAAGAGGGTGGAAATAAAGGGTGAAGATGGAGAAAAGATGGAAAAGTGTAAAGAAAAGAAAGAAGCCATGACAAAGGTGAAATCGCTAACAGTGCTAGCTTTAGCTCTGGAAAACAGTTAATGTAACGATTTCTATATACGATATAACATTTTTAATAATAATGAGTTTGTCGGGTTTTTTGTTTGTTGTTTATAAATGACTGAGTTTGGATTTTTTTCTTTTGTTATGTCGAGCCTTATGTCGGTCAAACTCTCAATTTTTGACTAATCAGGAAGTTCTACAAGCTTAGACATAAAACTCAACTGTCAACCCTCAATATTTTTTTCAAAACAGATCGTAATCAGGCGATTGCCTCCAAGTCTGACAAAGGAGGAGCTGGAGGAGCAGCTGCAACCTCTGCCAGATCTGGACTACATTGAGTTTTTCTCCAACGACACCAGGTCAGACTTAATAGTAGTCCAAACTTTTAACGAGTGTCCAGATGTGATTATTGTCAAATTCCTGTTACGGCAAATTGTCTCCTGGGGTTCATCACCAGAACCCCCTAAAATCTTTCGTCAACTGTCTTCTCTGCAATTTGACCTTTTTAACGTTGGATGTCGTTGTTAATTACGTCGAAAATATGAAAATATGGCATATATTTATTTATTATTTTATTTACTTTTTTCTCCCAGTCTTTACCCCCACTTGTTTGCAAGGGCTTACATCAACTTCAAAAATCCAGAGGACATTGTTCTCTTCAGAGATCGCTTTGACGGATATGTTTTCATTGACAACAGAGGTAAAGTAAAAGAACGATTACTAAAATTTCACTGAATTTTAACCGACATTATTAGGTGATTCTTGTTTGTTTTTGTTTTTGGTATGAAACAGGTCAGGAATTTCCTGCCGTTGTAGAGTTTGCGCCATTTCAGAAAACAGCCAAAAAGAGAAGTAAGAAAAAGGATGCAAAGTGTGGAACTATCACTGAAGGTAATCTGATCTGTTATCATATTTTATGCTGTTTCGAAGAACGATGATAATTGCTCCAACATTAAATAATTCATTTAAATCTGTCAGATTATTTCCAACAATTCCGTCTTCTCAATCTGTTCTCAAACGTATTCTTTCGAACATATCCTCTTTGTGACGCTTTAAACACGCATATTTTAAAAATATTTTTTTACGTCCAGATTTAGATATTGGGCATTGTAGACAACTCTAGATATCATGAACTCTACCCATTTTCAGATCCTGATTACAAGAAGTTCCTGGAATATTATAACGGTGATGAAGAAAAGTTGTCCTCAACACCTGAGACCCTGCTGGAGGAGATCGAAGCGAGATCAAAAGAACTTGTTGGTAAGTGCTCAGTTTACTTGAATCAATGTAATTGAATAAATAAATAAATACTAACATGAACAATGTGTCTTCCAGCGAAGAAAACCACTCCTCTACTAGACTTCCTGAAAAACAAACAGGTGATTGTTAATAAAATGTTTTGGGTTTTTTTTATGTCTCCGTAATGTTTTTTTCTGACGGATGTTTTTTTGTGTAACGCCCATTCAGAGAATCAGAGAGGAAAAGAAAGAAGAACGCCGAAGGAGAGAGCTCGAGCGAAAGCGTCTCCGAGATGAGGAGCGACGGAAGTGGAGGGATGAGGAGAGGAGAAAGCGAAAGGAGGCGGAGAAGATGAAGAGGCTGGATAAACCCCTAGAGAAGGACAAAGAGCAAGCAAAGGAAGAACCAAAAATAAAGGTGATTTGGGATGAGGTTACATTTCTTTTTAACGTTTACAGAATTGAGGGTAACGTAATGTTATTTTTCTTTCTTCAGTTGCTAAAGAAAACAGACAGAGCTGACGATACCGATCCTGAGAAACCGAAGGAAAAGGTGAAGAAAACCGAGAAGCACAATAAAGAGGAGAGGTGTTCAGGAGGTTTGGATCATAAGAGACGACAGAGTGGGGAAAATAAGGAGGAGAGAGCGAGGAAGTGAGTCCACTCTATTAGTTTAAACCCATGTTCGCCATATTTGTTTGTATTGTATACTCTTTGAAAGCAGTATTTGTGTACTCATACTATTGTTTTAGCAAGTTTGTTTTTTCAGCAATTGTTCTCCATTGTTTTAGTGTTTATTTTAATTTTGTCTGTTTGTTTTTTCAGCAGTTATTCTCCATTGTTTTAGTGTTTATTTTAAAATCTTTGAGTAATTTTGGTACGGTTGTTTGCAATTTGTTTTTTCATTTCATTTTTTTTTTCTATGTGTTATCTTTTTAGTGACTCTTCGATCTGTTGTTGTCAGTAATTTCCTGAACTTTTGAGTGATTTCAGAAGATTTTTACAGAAAAAAATCAAGGGACCATATCATTTAATACATGATATCCCGCCTTTTTTTAACACTTTTTTTAGTCTCTTTTTTTTATATGAAGGACTTGTGCCTCATCAGTACATGTGATCAATCCACAGAACCGACGACGACGGGAGAAAAGAGTTCAGAGAGCGCAATGCAGAACGAGATAAGGATCGGGAAAGAGAGAAGGAACGGCGGCTGAAGGAGAAGGAGCGACTCCGGCGACAGGATGAAGAGCGGCGAAGACGGCGAGAACGTCAAGACGGAGAGAACTCGTGCAGAAAGAGGGAGGAAGACGTCAAGAAGGAGAAGAAGCACGTGATAATGGAGAGAAGAAATGGCGAAGATTCCACTCCCGGGGAAAAGTTTGTCAGTGACAACAGGAAAGAGGAGGGAAGCAAAAGAGAACGACTGAGAAACAAAGTAAGAGCTGCTAAATCTACTGTTTGTTTTTTTTATTTTATACATTTTTCCTTTCCTTTACAAAATATTAGCTGCTAAATTCTAAGTCTTCTGTATAAAAGCATCCTTTTTTTTTTTTTGTAACCCTGAGACTGTTTTTGTTTGTGTACCAGGACCGACCTGCTATTCAGCTGTACCAGCCTGGGGCCAGGAGCCGCAATCGAGGAGGAGGAGAAGCAGGTGCAGGAGGAAGGGGAGGAGGACGAGGAGCTGGTGAAGGAGGAGGAGGAGGAGGCAGCGGTGACAACAATGCTTCCAAAAGCAAACCGGACGCTGAGATGAAAAAAGTGTCTGACAAAGGAGTCGTCTGAGGCGTTGTTTGTTATGGATTGTATTGAGTTTATTAAAAGGTAAAGAGAAATATCCCGAAAGGCTCAGAGCGGTGGAGCGACGCCTCAGATGAGAGCAACAACTGCTGTAGCTACAGAACACGTAACAGGCTGATGTGATGCCGGAGCCTCCAAGTGCCTGAAATTGACCTTCACTGTCTCTTATTTATTAGAAGAGGTCATGGTATCCTTAGAAGTTTGGCTGTAGGCCATAGCAAGTGAAACACAAACATCAATGGACATAATTTTACTCCTTATTTCAAAGTGTTGACTCTTTAAACACCACATGTCGTATCCCTCGGCCACATTTCTGCCACCAGGAAATACAAGGACTATAATATATTTTCTTAAAATTAATTATTTCTTGTTCACAGGATCCTTGTGTGTTAATAATGTAGTGAAAGACCAGGGAAGATAAGACAAAATAAAAAAAAAAAGTTATTGTTTTGTGTATGATACACTATCAATCTAAAATGTTTCTCAAGTAAAATTAGAGGAAGTCCTGGTTCCTTTAGCGGCACTCTGCATAGTTCCTGGTTCCTGGTACTGGTGTGTGAGGTAGTGCACATAGTTTTTTGGGTTTTTTTTATGCCAAAAATGTAGTTTTCGGCATGATTTCCTTTTCTCTTTTCAATTTAAATGGATTCACACGTTGTTTGAGGAGATAAAGCCATGCTCCGACTCTGATGCGAGACACCTGTGCCTACATTAAAACAACAACAGTGGAGGGTTTCTTTTTGTATAGTCTAATCTGAAAATAACAGAATTCCTATTCCTTTTTATAAAAAGAGCTCGATCATGTTTCATTTTTCACTCAGACTTACTGTAGCTCAAAAATGATGTTGAGATTTTGTTTGTTACATTATTTTCGCCATTAAACGTCTTTCCCCCCCAACTCATCTTTATTTATTTTTTTGTTGACTACAGTTATTACAGAAAAACATGGTCTAAGGGTTGCACAAATCTATTGCTTTTCAGATAGCTGTTCGAGAATGTTGTTTTGAATTAGACGTTTTCACAATAGAGCTCACAAAAAAGAAAGGCAAAAAGGCAATTTACAAAATGATCAATTACTTATGGAAAAATGTAGACCAATTGTTCCAATAACAGGCTGAGAAAATTAGTTAAGTTATAGTGCAAAAAGTATAACAATTTATTTCAGTCAAAATTGTCTTTTCTATCGCATTTGAAGCGGATGACTAGGACAAAAACATCCAGTAGATGTCGTTGTCCTTAGCCTGCACAGACATTTTGCAGGACGTTGGTTCAATAAAAGAGAACGACGTCACTTCCTTCTTTCTCTTCTACCGCCGCCATAGTGTGGAAAGGGACTGTGGACAAAATGGTAAATATGAAATCTTAAAACATCTTTGCAATACAAGTGTTTCAGTATTCTGTGATATTGTACTCGTGTAGCGATGGTTTCAGAGGGGCTATAGGGTTCAATATTAGTTCTTATAGAGACCGTAAAAACATTTTTAAGCGGCTACAAGTAATTTAGCGGTGCTAGCATTTGCCGCTAGCATCGCTGTTAATGTCCGGTCAGGTTTAACTGGTGCTAATGCGTTATCTGTCATGTTGAAGCTCTAATAAATGGTTTACAATGTTATTTTTCGGATGCGTGCATGTATCAGACATTTTTATTCAAATGTTTATTCTCTTATTAATTGTGATACAACCTCACTAAACGAAAAACTAAACTTAAAGTAGGAGAGACAACTAACAGTCCTTTTTTTTATTCCATGCTGCATTTAGCCCATGGCCTTTTATTGCGTTTATTGGTCATTTGTTCTTGCCTTGCAGTTATTTTCAATATTGAACAGTGTCTATAATATGATTGAACGTTCAAAGCATTCGAACCTGAACCGGTGAATTCTCCGTTTTAAAAAAAAGCTCTTGTTTTTGTCTTAGTCGTCACACAAGACGTTCAGGATCAAGCGATTCCTCGCTAAAAAGCAGAAACAGAACAGGCCAATTCCTCAGTGGATCAGAATGAAGACTGGTAACAAGATCAGGTGAGTTTTCTACTTGTATCACCACCAGAAACATTTAAAGTAGTCGTAATTCAGAAGTAAGCATACGCTGGCATCTGAGAACTCAGCATCAGAGCATCCTGTACCACTTTTTTGGGGCAGTGGTGGCTTGGTGGTTAAGGACTTTTGAAACCGGAAGGTTTCAGGTTCGAGTCCACCAGCTGCTAAGTTACAACAGAGGTGCACTGAGCATAGGACCCTCCCCACACACTGCCCCCTTGGTGCTTAAAGGTGCCTACTGTTCACTTTGGTGATGGATTTTTAAAAAATAATTAAAAAAGCATTTTTTTGTGTGTGCAGTGGTGTGCTGTCACAATGATGAATAATTCACACGAAAGTTTTTAAAATACTCATTAAGCCCTTGCTGGGTGGTTATAGTTTATTTGAGGGCAAATTATATAGACAGTGTTTTGTCCAGTTGTATTGAGGTCAGCCATTGTTATGATATTCATTCTTAATGTTTCTTGCTGCTGTGATCCAGGGGATACGAGATAGGTAGATAGATCTAAGTGAAATGTGTGCTGACAGACTGTACTTTTCAACCCATATTGAAATTTCAGCATTGCACGTTTTGCAAATTGATATCTGTGGGTGTTTCTCAGATATACTGAAATACGTCCACACGGCAGATTATGTTGGTACTTACGGCAAACTGTTTTAACATTCAAACACTAAACTGGATATGTATTGGATATCTAACGCAGTCTGCCCAAGTTAACAGGGCAGCATCAATGGGTGCACCAAAATTGTCGATTAAATATTACTTAGTGTTTAATTGCACTTTTAAAGATATGTATTGAGCTGTTGGATGCCCAGAATGAGTTTTATTTCTTTAAGTGCACATTCCTCATGGACTACATTACTCGGCTGAATACATTAAGTAGAGCCACAATGTGTTTGGGCAGGTATTGCATGTTATGTAAAGCAGGTCTGCAATTGCAGCACTTGTTTTCAGTCAAGTGCTGTCATTAAACCTGCTGAGAAGATATTGCTGCTGCAAGAGTATTTTCTATCTTGACTCCTATAGTGATGATGAAGCTCTTGCAGCTGAACATTCTGTTTTGCTCACCGAATAATAGTAACAACACGTCAATTTAGTTTATACTCTAAGCTTTCACAGAACATATGTGCTATTATTGTTTTGTGTGAAATTTGTGAGTAACTTCACTACTGCCACTGCATTGTAGCCTTTTATGATAATAAGGAATGTGGATAATGAGTGCAGAGTAAGTTTGTTTTCACACAACACTGGGGTCAAAGTCCAAAATAAAAGAGAGAAATTTGACTCTACCATAAACATCATTTTGGCTTGTGTCTCATTTCAGGTACAATTCCAAGAGGAGACACTGGAGGAGAACCAAGCTGGGTCTGTAAACCTGAGGCTATTTGGATCTCCCACACCTTGGTGTCTGCAAGACCTGGTCCAAGTCCAGCTGTTCATTGTGACCTTGAGGTGCAAGGATGGAGCTGAATTATCTCGTGTTTGATAATAAAAAGATCTGTAAGGAAACTAACATCTGACCAGTCTTTTCTTTACCCCCAGTCTCTTACTGAAGCGGAAAGGAAAAATACCTGTGGTCAGAAAGAAGTGACTCAGCCTACAGGGAAAATTGTTGTTAAAACGTTTAAGGAAGAAAAACTAGGAGGGTAAAAGTCACAGGGAAAGTTGTTAAAACGGGTTTAAAGTTGAAGGAAGAAAAACTAGGAGGGTAAAAGTCAAAGGATGTTTGTTTACTCCCAGGGATACAAAACAGAAATGACGAGCTTTATTATAGTTATTGAAATTACAAGTTTAGTTTAAAGCAGTTGTTTTAGCAGTTCCTGATAAATAGTTGACTTTCATTCATGTTGAAATAGAGCTGGTCATTCATCTCTGTTGAGTCAAATGTTAAAAATCCACATACAAATGTACCTGTAATTTTTTTTTTCTACAAAGTGTTTTTTGGATAGAGTCATAAAATCCTGAAATCTGCACACTGTAATGTTTGACATGAGCTCTAAGCTGCTGGAAATGTTTCAAGTTTGGTTACAGGTTTTCACGATCCAACCCATGTAAAAGCGCTGACTCGGCTTAAATAGAGGTAACATTTAACACTTAGTGAGCCATATATTTTTTTCCTGGACTTCATGTCATGTTTTGTCTCTCTAGATAATGGATCAGAACAAACCTGTATCCTTCTTAAGTTGCTGGAGGAATGAGCTAATTCTCTTTAACCTGACAGTGAATCTTACACCAAATGTGGGAACCTGAAAACAATTAGTGTCCTGAATGTATTCATACGTATTTGGTTAATAGTCAATAACAGTTTCGAACAGGTCGGACGTTAAAAATTACGTTTTGTTTCCAATAAACGACACTGAAGGCATGAACTTCCTTAGAGACCCAAATCTCCAGCTGCTGGACCTGCGGCCTGTGAACCCAATTTCCTCTGCAGGTCCAGGCTGCACCTCTTCAGAGAAAGTGACGTCACCAGGGCTGACAGTTTGTTTGCCCCCTGCCGCGTGCTCGTCCTCCGATCCAAGCAGCTCCTTCAACTCCTGAGGAGCGTCCCCGCTGAGGTACTGCCATGCCCTCTTCCCATTGTAGTCCATCTGCTCCACGTCTGCTCCGAACGCTCCCACCAAATGCTTTATGACCATGTGATGTCCGTGCATGGAGGCAACGTGCAGCGGCGTCAAGCCGCCGCTCCCTCGCGCATTCACGTCAACGGGCACGCCCGCCGTATGCGCGAACCGCAGAACTTTGACGAGGTCCTCGTCTTGGCCCCGTTTGGCCAACCAGTGCAGAACCGAGAAGCCGCTGATAAAGTCTCTCCGTGTCAGGAGGTACGGGTCCTCGGTGGCAAAGTCCAGGATTGTGTTCAAGTTCCCATCGGCCGCGCACAGCATCCACGCGTGCTCCATGGACCGTATGGTCGAGCGCTGGCCGTGTACCAACGGGCGAAGTCCTGTCAGCGGTTCTAACTAGGAACCGAACCACCCCCCTTCCCCTCCCGACTCTCACTCCTGGCCGTGGGAAAACAGCTGAGTCCACGGCTTCCTGCTGCCGCTGCTGCTGCAGCCGCGACCCGTG